TTAAAAAAAAAAAAAAAAAAAAAATAAAGGAAATAAATAAATGAAAATATTATTCTTTAAAGCACAATTTTCATATGGACATAAATTTAAAATAAAAAAAAAAAAAAATTAAAACAAAAAGAATATGTTTGTTCTATAAAAATTATTATAATTAAAAATGATCTGATTTTTATAATTTAATTTTTTTTTTTATTATACTTTTAAATAATTTTTGTTAATATTCGTTCATTAACACCGTCGGTTTTACCATTTGTTTGCTAATATTCTCTAAAAAAAAAAAAATATATATATATAAAATTATGTATTATTAGAATATTATTTGTTTTATATATTGTCATTATTAATACTATATTATTTTCTATTTTCGTTTATGAATATCAATTTAAATTTTTTAAAATAAAAAAAAAAGAGAGAAGAAAAAAAAAAAAAATGTTTACTTATCCATCTGTTATTCTCATCTTTATCCAGAGTAACAAATAAAATCTTCCTATTATTGTATCTAATATTAAATAAATGTATATTAGTTAGACCTAATTCATTTTCTATTAACTTTATTTTTCTAATATCTTCAATTGAAGTTAATTCAGTAAATTTATTAAGGTATAATATCTATGTATTACAAAAAAATAAAAAAAAACAATATATATATATATATATATATATATTTACAACAAGTATTTAAAGCATTAATTAGACAATCATTTATAAATTATAACAAAAAATACAAAATAAATGTCACATCTCTTTTTTTTTTTTTTTTCTTTGTTAAATAAAAATAAAAGAACTTTTTAATATGGATATTTATATTATTATTATTTTTTTTTTTTTTATATTACTTCTGTTGGTTTTTCACCTTGATAATATTGAGATTTAAAAGAGCAAATAAAATTTTTTGTTAATATGATATATCTTTTTCTCAATTTTTTTAAATATTTAGATTGCTTGAATACCCAACCTTCATTCACTATCTCCATATTTTAAAAAAATAAATAAAAATATACAAATATATGTAATATAATAGATCAACATAGAATTATTCTTTAAAAAAATAATTGTAATAATTTAGAAAATTATTGAGTAAACTCATTTAATATTTACTATTTATAATAAAATTTCCACTTATTAATAATAGAAAAAAACAAAACGAATAAAGAAAAAAATTTAAATTTAATAAAATATAGAAAATTTTAATTAAAAGATACACAGTGAAAGATGATACACTTAAGAATAATTAAGGGACTCTTATAAAATGATAAATTCAAAAATTTTGATACAAAAGAAAAAAAAAATAAAATAAAAATATACAAAATTATAATGTAAAATCGATAAAAAGGAAATTTTAAAATTTATACATATTTTTTATTTTTTAGAGTGTTTTCAGTCTAAATGAAAAAAAAAAAAAAAAAAATTAAACCAAGAAATCTATATCATAAAAATGTATAATTGTAAATTTTTAAGCATGAAATTTTTTAATACATATTTTTCCTTTTTTTTTTTTTTTTTTTACTACACATATTGAATATTATTTAAATTACACAAGAGGAATACATAAAGAAAATAAAAAAATACATATTTAAAAAAGCTATTAAGAATTAAATCTCCATTTTTTTGAAATTATATTTCTTTTTTCTTACTTAGTTTCCCTATGAATAAGAGAAATTTAAACTATAAATTTATTTAATGCACAAAATATTTTTTTGAACAGATTTATATTTTTTTTTTTTTTTTTTTTTTGCTTACCTAATTATTTTTAATTAAATATATATATATATATATATATATGATGAACATATAATTAAAACTACATTGTTTTGAATTTTCATTAAAATTAAAAAATATATATTTTAAATAAAATTGTAAAAGTGTATAAAAATATTTAAATAATATAAATAATAATGCAACGATGTAATTTTATTATGTAATTTTTTTTTATATTCTTGCATTTTTTATGTAATTTTTTACACTATAGCAAAAATATATATTTTAAATCACTTTAAATAAAATATATATATGAGAAATTATATAAGTTAAAAAGAAAAAAAATTGAACTCATAAATAATAGAACTCGTTTTACATAATAAATGATATGAAATATCCATACATATGATGATCAGGATATATATATTGTATTAAATACTATATGTACAAACTATATATATATTTAAATATATTTTTTTTTTTATTTAAAATTTAAAAAAACTAATAAAATAAGTAAATATGACTGCTGAAGATAAAAAAGTAAAATTTAATACATTTAAAATTTTATGATAATTTATACATTATATTTTTAATATAAGTATATACATTTTTTTTTATTCATTTGCATAAATAATTAATACTACTAATATTATATTTTATTTTTTGTAACGCATTAACAATACATCTTTTTTTCACTTTTTTATTAATATATAGGCTGTTTCAATTAAGGTCCCTGTAAAGGATGCAGATGATAAAAGAAGAAAATTAAATAATGCAAAAATTAAGAAAGAAGAGTTAAATGAAGAAGAAAAGAAAAAAAAGGAAGAATTAGAATTGTTAATTACAAGATTAAAAGATGATGATATAAATGTAGTAAATTTATCTATTAACCTTTTAAATAAAGAAATTATTGATACAAGTGGAATTTTGACCTCTTTGTTAGCATTAAAAGTTTTAAAAACACATTATAATACATTAATAGAAATACATAACGAAATGAAATTTGAAGAGTGTAAAAGAAAATTAAGTAATATGATAAGTGCCTTATCTACAACAATAGGTGATGAAAATAATATCGTAAAATATGTTATATCCGGAAATAAAAAAGATTTAATAAATTATGGCCATGAGTATATAAAGAATTTAATTACAAAATTATTAGTGGAGTACAAAAATATAAAAGAAGAAGAAGTAAGTGCAAATTCGAATGCTGCGACAAAAAATGTTACAATAAATCATATATATGAATTAGTAAATATTATTGTACCATATTGTTTTAGTCATAATACCGAATATGAAGCTATAGATTTATTAATAGAGGTAGATAAAATAAATGATATTTATTTATATGTTGATGAAAAATCTTGTGATAGATCTATATTGTATTTGCTAAATTTAACACACTATAGCTCTTCAACAGAGGAGTATTACAAATTAATGAATGTGATTTTAAATATATTAAAGAAGCATAAAAAACATATAGAATCTTTAAAAATATTATTAAGATTAAATAAAATTAATAATATTAAGGAATTGATATTTGAATGTGGGGATATTTTAATATGTAAGCAAATAGCTCTAATATGTGCAAGACATTGTGTTTATTTAGAATTTACTGAAGAAGAAATATCCAAATATCCAAATTTGAATTTAGCTGAGATATCTAATTTATCGTCAGGTGAACATTTATCATCAATTTTTTTAAAATTAGCTAAAGATTTAGATGTAGAAGAACCCAAATTACCAGAAGATGTTTATAAATCTCATTTAGAAGAAAAAAGAAATACAAGTGTATGGGATTCGGCAAAACAGAATTTATCTTCAACGTTTGTTAATGCATTTGTAAATGCTGCTTTTTGTAAAGATAAATTAATGACTATTAATTCCTCCTTATGGCTTTTTAAAAATAAGGAGTATGGTTTAATGAGTGCAACTGCATCAATGGGATTACTATTGCTATGGAATATAGATGAAGGATTATCTCAAATTGATAAATTTCAATATAGTAGTGATCAGTATGTAAAAGCGGGTGCTTTAATGGCATTTGGTTTAGCCTGTACTAATATAAAAAATGAATGTGATCCAGCGTATGCTTTATTATCTGAACATATAGATGCACAAAATGTAATGGAAAAAATAGGTGCTATTTTGGGTTTTGGTTATGCATATGCAGGTACCAACAGAGAAAATTTGTTAGATGTTTTAATTCCACCATTAGTCGATAATGGTTGTATTATTGAATGCAGTGTTTTTGCTGCTTTATCTTTAGGTTTAGTTTTTGTTGGTTCACAAAATAGAGAAATTGCTGAATATATCATTGATACCGTTTTAGAAAAAGAAAAGGTAAATAATTCTTTAGATTCACCAATAGCAAAGTTATATGCTGTTGCTTTAGGGCTCTTGTTTCTTTGTTCAAGAGAAAAGTGTGAAGCTACATTGTCTGCTTTGGAAATTATTAAACATCCCATTTCAAAATATATGATTGCAACAGTTGAAGGAATGGCTTTTGCTGGATCCAATGATGTTTTGAAAGTGCAAAAAATGTTACATGTTCTAGTTGAAAAAAGAAACGATAAAAAAAATAACAACGAAAACAAAGTTAGTACAGATAATAAAAACGCTAATGTGGATAATAAAAAAAATAACAGTAATAAAAATATAAAAAATAATGATACAAAAAATATAAACAATAATAATTATGTTGAAGATAATTTAGACCAGTGCGTAGCTATTTTAAATATTGCACTTATAGCTTTAACGGATGACATAAGTTCAGAAATGACAACACGAATTATTGATCACTTTTTACAATATTCTAATGTAAATCAAAAAAAAGCAGTTCCTTTAGCATTGGCATTATTATTTACATCATTTCCAAAACCAAATATTGTAGACATTTTATCTAAATTAACACATGATCAAGACCCTGATGTTGCATTGCATGCTATTATTTCGTTAGGATTTGTTGGTGCAGGAACAAATAATTCAAGAATAGCTATTTTGTTAAGGCAGTTATCTGCTTTTTATTGTAAAGATACCAATGCTATTTTTGTTGTAAGATTAGCTCAAGGTTTGTTATATATGGGGAAAGGATTATTAACTATTAATCCTTTGCATTCCAATCGTTCAATTATTAACCATGTTTCATTAGGATCCTTATTAATAACAATACATGCTTGTTTGCAACTTAAATCAACAATATTAGGAAAATATCATTATTTGCTTTATCATTTAGTACCTTGTATTTATCCAAGGATGCTTGTAACTGTTAATGAAAATTTAGAACCGTTACCAATATCTGTTCGTGTCGGTCAGGTAAAACATATAATTATATGCTCGAAAACGTAAAGAAAAATATTTCATGACATGTATTTTTATATAAATTCATGGCACTGTTCATAATTTTTTCAAAAGTTTTTTTTTTTTTTTTTTTTTCATTATTTATTTATGTAATTTATTTTTTTAAGGCTGTCGATGTTGTTGGACAAGCAGGAAAACCAAAAACAATTACAGGATTTCAAACCCACGTTACCCCAGTTTTATTATTACACACAGATAGAGCAGAAATAGCAACAGAAGAATGTAACAATTTTTATTATATATAGATATAAAATATATACAAAAAGATTAAATAATCACATTTTTAAAACGTTTTTTTTTTTTTTTTTTTTTTTTTTTCATTTTTAGATATACCCATTAACGATACTTTAGAAGGAATAGTTATTTTAAAAAAAGCTCCGAATTATGTTCCACCAGCAGTTAATTAATTCATATATGTTTTATTTATGAATAAATCATTGTATATATAACAAATAAATGTAGGTAAATTGATTTTAAAAGAATTTATAAATACAAATTTTTATAAGTCCTTTTTTACAACTTTATTTAAAAGAAAAAAAAAAAAAAAAAAAAAAAAAAAAAAATAAAATAAAAAAAAATTAAAAAAAAAAAAAAAAAAAAAAAAAAAAAAAAAAAAAAAAAAAA